ACTAATTTCCCTATTTTCACATCATGCTTATTCTGTAATTTTTTCTTAGGTTCGCTCCGCCTTATTTTCCCATGGCATCAACGCACATTTTCTTTGCAATGTTGATCTCATTGATGATAAGTTGTTTAATCACCAGCAGTGGAGTTTTGTCGAGAGTAGCTTTGGAAAGGCAGAGAACTTTATGGTTAGTTTTTATATTTTTTTCCTGCCAGCTAATGAGAGACCTTTTTGATTGTATTTTATAAATGCCCTATACATCCTCATTTTTCAGGCAAAAGCAGGTGAGTCAGTGGACCCTGGATTCGTCGGTAGACAGAAAGTGCTAGGAGTTGGAGGATCTGAATCATCCTTCATTTATCAAACCTGCATGATGGATTGTGATTGGATGAGTGAAGAATTGGTGCCAACGATGCTGTTCACGCAGTACTTGAGTCAATGCGAAGGCAAAAACTTTCTTCGGTCACTGTGTCGTTTATTCTGCAAAATGCTGCTGATATCCGTTTTCAGGCCCACTTTGGCGCGGCATTCGAGGTGATGGTCTAGCCTATGGTGCCAACATATATGTGAGATCAGAACGAAGGACGATCACATTATCTCTATATAGGTGTGCACAACCAATTGAAGCTTACGAGCGTTCAAAGAAAATTGTGGTGAGAAACTTTATCTCTTATTGAATGTCACCCTTTCATTAAGTTTTTAATTTACAGAATGATGTTTTAAAGAGCGGCACTATAGTAGAGTCTGAGTTTGAGGCAGCGAAGAGGTCTCTGATTTGCGAATTGATGGAACGGGAGGAGACGGTACGTGAAGTCTTACGACTTTGGAGTAGCTGATTTTTAGCCTTACCTTCTTCACAGTCCCAGTTAAATACTAATGAAAATAGACTTATACAAGGAGTAAAACAGTTTAACCCGGAAACACGTGGTATAGTGTAGAATGATGCCCTTTTTGATGATCCCATCCGTGATTTCACACATCTTCTTTTTTTCTTTTTGAAAATTTTAATGGGTTCCAAAT